GACAGTTTTATTCAGTGGTAATCTGACAGTATCTTCCAAAATGCTTTTTTAACATCTCCATCAATGTGCATGTACACTGTCACTAAATAAATAGACACTTTTTTTCTTTTGTTTTATTTCTAGGGGAACAGTTTTTTTGGGACTGGGAAAGTACCCCTTAATGAACCACCATTATACTTTAGACCCTTGATATTTACTTTGCAGTTTGTGTCTTGCAGACATAAACTGCGAAACTTAATGTAAATGCACAAAGTGGACCTTTCATCTTACAAAGCAACAAATGTATTAGATTGCCTTATTAGATCTTTTTAGAAACAATAAAACATAATTTAGTTGAAATCTGCCAAAACCTGATATTATCTATTATGCAACTAACAAATCATGATTTTATATCCAAATGTGAGCTGGTACACTAGACTTCTCTGAGAAGCTTAACATTCAAGATGCAAGTAAATAAGTGCACCTGGGTATTTTAATCAAAGAACATTGATGTGCATTATTAACAATATAATTTTGATGAAAGAGTATGTGTATATTGGTGGATTATTTACTATAGAAACTTTGTAAAAATTTATTTATTTTAATTATTAGTACTGTTTAGAGCAGCTCTGGCATAAACCTTATACTGGGTGGTGGTTTAATAAATTTGTTAGCCACTGTATATCAGCTCAACACAGTGGAAGCAAAGGAATATGCATTGAAGAAAAGAACATGTTGGAATTACGTAATTCAATATAGATGTTGGTTGCACACAGATGTTTTGCTTTGGGAGCAACTTGAACAATTGAGTTAAATTAACACTTAACTTTAAACCATAAAGCAATTCCGTTAAATACACCTAAGATGCTTACATAAATCCAAGAGATGGCCCGTGTCCTTTTTTCAGTGTATGCGTATATGCTTTTAATTTACCCAAAATAAACAGCAATAAAATATTGCATCTTGAGATGTAAAAGTGAAAGACTACACCATTTCTATCTGGGGACACTGGCTTTCGGAAATGTGCTCATAGTTAGTTAGCTTGGAGTCAAGGCTGGACTGGGATAAAAAACCGGCCCGGGCATTTTGACTAGAGACCGGCCCACCAGGATAAAGATTGAAAATGTGACGTCATTCAGGGGTAAAACCGCAAAGGATTCTGGGAACTTGTGGCAAGAGGTACTAGCGCACGCAGGCTTTCAATTGAACTCCGTTACACAGCGATAAAAAGAAACCCAAAAAATGGCAAGAAGCTGTTGTATTATTAACTGCAATAGCCGGTCGCATGACAGCCACGGGAAGCC